CAAACATTACTTTGGAAATACTAATAATAGGCCTAGAAATCGACGAGCGGTGACGTGTTTGTTGATGTCCTCCATAGCACCCGCCCTCAATATGCGCGGTGCATTCTGGGTCCACCTAAAGATGGCGGCGCCCTTGCGCAAGTGTTGAGAAACAGTGTCGGCTGAAAGTCTGATTAAAACTAGCCACAGTTCTACAGTGTTGATCCATCATCAAAAACAACAGAAAGTGCACGGAAAGAGACCGTCGAATTAAAGTATCGAGTGCCTGCCGTGGCTCACGCAGAGTGTGTGTTTAAGGATGATCATGGGCCACTGCGCCTGACCCAGAACCAAACGGAGAGCCATCGCAGATCCCCCTGCAAACACCTCTTGATCCAGCGCCTTCAGATCCTCTACAGGCTGTGGACGCTGCCATTTAAGCTGCTGACGGGAGTGATCTGTGTGATCGTCCGCGGACGCAGCGGATCTCCAGCTCAAGCTTTGGAGAACTCTGCTGATCAGAGGTGCGAGTACAATCACAAACCCGCCCAGTTTCTCTTTAATCACCACAGTGCCAAAATACCATATTTGCTTCAGTAAAACTGTTGGCATTAGCCGCCACTGTCCTCACTAAAGAGAAATGACATCGGTTCTTAATGCTTCACTGTATAGAAGACGTCCTATGTTTTTTAAATGATGGTCTTACAATGTAACAGTACCATTAGTAATGATGGTTTTTAGGCTGAAGTTGTCGTTACCATGGTATTTTCATTTGAATATGCATGACCAGTTCTGTTGTAATTGGTTTGAATGTAACTTGACTCGCAGTGTGGTAGTTTGATAGCCTATGCTGGCAACTTTTAGTTAAATTTTTAAATGTGTCAGTTTTTGTGATTTTAAAAAGTTTTCATTAAGGTTATTGAATTTAGTGATGTTTTTCTTGTCTCTACAGTACATGCAGTTTCAACACAAGTGGTTGGAGTCTTAGTGCAGAATTGTTTAATATCACTATGAGAGCTGCAGTTTAAATCTGTGCCTAAGCATTTACCAGATACTGCACCACCAGTGGCACCAAATGCTAGTAGAAATGATTGCAAACTGGTTTCTCTGAAAAGTCCCCCTTGTTCCATTGAATTTTCTACAGACAGGTAGTTTTGTTCTAAATGTACACCATTGATTGTTTTTCCTCTGTTGGAGTGCTCATCAGTGTTGTGTAGACCGATCGATGTCTGATTTGAAGCTGTGCATGTTAGAAATTTTGCCCGACTTGAGACAGCGGCAACAGCACATCACTGTGATGCATGACATACAAGTACTGCAAAAACCAAAGTGTAAGAAAGTTCCGCACATCCCACAAACCCACACAGGGCTCAGGTGCAGGACAAAAAAAAAGTCAAACTATAGCAAAAATACAAACGTATTGTCCGCACACTGATGTAACTGCTCCATAAAAATAATTTATTGGGGCAACGTTTCGACCATCAGGTCTTCGTCAGGTCTTCACAAATTACGTGAACTGGTACAACTCTTTATAAGTAACAGGTGATCATTCTAATTAGACACATTCAATCACTGTGCAGGTTAGAGCCCCACCGATATGGGTTTTTCGGGGCCGATAGCGATATTAGGGAGTAAAAAAAGGCCAATATCGATATATCGGCCGTTATCGTAAAGTTGAAGTTTATTCAACTTTAATTCAATTCAATTCAATTCCATTAAATTTTATTCCTTTGAAGTTTATTTCACTTCGGAACATTCATTCATCATAAATACAATATAAATTCACGTCTCGCGCACTTTAATGCCCTTTGATTGTAACGTGTACGTTCCCTTGGAACTGGTATCATGGCGGAATTTCATGTGAAGTCTACTTCGCAGGGCACTTGCGGTCGAATAAGACAACGCTTGAATGCTGCTGCCTGAACAAGAGACCTCCTTACTGAAGT